TCTTCCTCTGCCTTTGTACCTTCCTGTATAAAGTCGGCCAACGCCTGTGCCTTGATCGCCCTCCTAGGCTCATATGCGATCGCGTACTCACTTAATTCGACCGTTCATTTGACTAGTCGACCCGATACAGAAGGTCGGCCTAAAGTCTCTCCCAACGGCATAGCCTCAGCTTCCTTACCGTCACCACCACTGCTAGAGCACACTTCTCAATCTCCGAATATCTTCTCTCCGCACCTTGCTTACATAATAAACTGAGAATTGCACTGTACCCTCTTCCCTTAACAAGACTAAACTCACCGCCGCTTCCTCGATCGATATATATAGCACTAGATCCTCCCCGGGAATCGGCTTAGCAAATAGAGGCAGATTTGCCAACACCTTCTGCAACTGCTCGAATGACCTCTGGGCCTCCTCTGTCCACTGGAATTTCGAGCACTTTCTCAACGTTCGGAATAGAGGACCACTCTTTTCTGCCACCTTCGATATGAAACGGCTCAGGCCCGCGATCCGACCCGTCAAGATCTGCACCTCCTTTACCTTTGTGGGCGGTTTCATCTCGATCACCGCCCTTACTTTCTCCGGGTTGACCTCGATCCCCCTCTTCGTCACCATATACCCCAGGAATTTTCCTGACTTCACTCCAAAAGAACACTGGGCGGGATTCAATTTCATACCATACCTCCGCAAAGTTGAGAACGTCTCTCTTAAGTCACTCACATGATAGGCCTCCACCTTACTCTTCACCAACATATCATCAACATACACCTCCATATTCCTCCCCAACTGCTCCTTGAAAATTTTATAGACCAACCTTTGATACGTTGCACCCGCATTCTTCAGTCCAAAAGGCATCACCACGTAACAGTATGTGCCCCTGCTCGTAACAAAACTCACCCTCTTTCTATCTTCTCGAGCCAGGGGGATCTTGTGGTACCCCTGGGATGCAACCATAAGACTGAGCAGCTCACACCCCGCGGTAGAATCGACCAGCTGGTCGATCCTGGGCAATGGATACAAATCTTTCTGGCATGCCTTGTTTAAGTCACAAAAATCAATGCACATCCTCCACTTTCCCCCGGACTTAGATACCATCACTGTATTCGACAACCATTCGGGGAACTGGATCTCCTTAACATGACCCGCCTTTAACAACTTCTCAACCTCCTGCTCGATCATCTTATCCATCTCCGCACCATGGTGCCCTCTTTTCTGTTTCACCGGCCTCACCGTCAGATCAATATTCAAACGATGTTCAATCACCTCTGCCTTTATCCCCGTTAACTCCTCAGCCGTATATGCGAAAACATCCGCGAACTCCCTGATCAGTTCGATCAATCTCGACTTTATGGGTTCCTTGAGCTCCTTCCCTATTCGAAACTTCCTCTCCTCACATCCTTCCACCATCTGGATCTCCTCGATCTCCTCTCCGGGCTGCATCTCTACTCTCTCCTTCCCTTTATCTACCTTCTCTTTTTCCTCCTTCGACCTCGAACCTCCTGGTCGATTTGACATCCCCTCTTCGAGCTTCATCTGCTTCCTCGAGAGTTGTCTATTGTTGCTCACCGTGGTTTGATAACAACTCCTCGAGGTAAGCTGATCTTCTGTGACCTCACCAACGTTTTTGCCCACTGGATATTTGATCGTCATATGGTACGTCGACACGACCACCTGGAATGCATTCAAACTGGATCACCTTTTGCCTCCTCGATCACATCTCCCTCCTCGAGGATCACCTTCCTCATCATCATCTTGGTCACTCCGCTCCACCGAATCCTCCCGACATTTTCCTTTGTCCTTCCCTTTCGCCTTGTCCTCATACACGAACTCCTTAAGATACCCGACCCTAATAAGGCACTCGATCTCATCCTTGAGGTGCCGGCACTTCTCTGTCGTATGCCCATAATCTTTATGAAAACGGCAGTACTTCCCCGACCTAGGCTGCGTTGGCCCCTCGCGCCTCGATTTTGGCCACGTCACATCCCTATCTACGATCTTCTTCTCAATAGCCACCAGCACCTCTCCCATTTTTGCATTAAGGGGTGTGAAGTTATGGAACCGCTTCCCTCCAAACACTGGTCGATTCTTCCACCTGTCCTCTCGCCCTCGATCAAACTTTCCACGCCCCTCTCTCCTGGGCGATCTCCTACCCGGCGACGCCCTTCGAGGTGAGCTTGCCCTTCCCTTCTTCGGCTCCGACTTAGCCAACTTCTCCAACTTAGCAAACTCCGCCTCCGTCTCCTCCAGATTAATATATTTCTTACACCTTTTCAGCACATCGTCATACGTACGAGCAGGGGTTTTGGCTAAGGATGTTCGACAGGGCCCTGCTCGCAGACTCCGTATCAACCCTCCAGCCTTCACCTCGTCCGCGGCCGTGGGGATCTCTAAACAAGTTTTATTGTATCGCGCAACATACTTGCGCAACGACTCTTTATCCCCCTGCCTCATGGCCATCAGCGTCAAATACGTTTTCTCCTGTGCCACAGCGCTCGCGTATTGGGTCATCAACTTCTCCGCGAAATCATCAAAGTCCGTGATCGATCCATGAGGGAGCTGCTGGAACCAATCGACCGCGCCTCCTCTCAAGGTCGATAAGAATGCCCTGCAGCTAACAGAATCAGAATAACCATGTAACACAGCCAAATTCTCAAATGCCCTTACGTGCCTCGACGGGTCAGTGGTCCCATCGAACACCAAACTCATGTCTCTAAAATTCGCAGGTAAGGGTGCAGCCAATATATCCCTCGAGAACGGATGTCCTTGAGCACGCCTTTCAGGTCGACCATCCATCTTAGCCTGCATCTGCCTCACCTGCTCCGCGAGTCTCTCCATCTCCCGATCTCGCAGGGCTCCATTTCCTCCATAGCTAGACACGTCCTCATCCATCATCGTTGGTCCAGCAGCCACTCGCGAAAGGCTTTGAGTGACTTGCTGAACCGCTTGTGCCGCCGTGTTCGCCACCATCTGCTGCATCTCTTGCCTGGTCATCACCACCTGTTGGCCGGGGCGTGGCTCTTCCACCGACGGCGGTACTGCTCCCTGTACCACCGCTCCTCGTTGTTGTGCCACGGCCAGATCTGGTTGCAACGGCACTGGGATCGCCACTCCTTGAGCCGCGCGAGTCTCCTGGGTCCGATCCGCATCCGCCTCGGGTTGCATCGGCGTAGCTCCTACACCTTGGGGAACAGGCGTCGGAGTCACCGGTGTATGCGAGGGTCCAGAGAAGCCCACGGGAGGGCCCTCTCCAAACGGCCTTGTCATCGTCCATGTATCGTCGAACGATGCTTGCAAATCTCTCTTAGGAATTCCGTCCTCCATAGCCACCGAGCTTCAGAAATCTCAGCACACTGCTTTTCGAACGAAAGTCCCACAGACAGCGCCAAATGGTAACGCAAAACACTCCGACCGGCTTGAAATCAGCTTGCCTCCTTCTTCCTCGTCGGTAGAACGCCGCGTTCTTGCACAGAACTCTCACACCGGAGGGGTTTTCCAGTGAAGAGCCTCCGATGCTTAAGTCAGTATGTGTTTGTTCAATTTTCCAAAGTAAAGAATGGATAAATCATAGGCTACAAGAAAAGACCCACTCCCATATATATAGAAGTGAGATACTGCCCTAGGAATTGCCCGGCTTTTGGTGAGCTGTCCTGCCCGTTCGTACACACATAGTGTGCGTGTGTCAGAGATTGTCAGGGGTGGTTTTCGCCACTATCACTCTGCACCAATATATTCTCGCCACGTGTCCCTCTGAGCTGAGGGAGATTATTCTTCTGCGCAGGCCGTTGGGATCTTCTAACGCCATCCACGCGCCTTCTCGCGTTCAAGCCACGCTCTAGACTGTTCTTCACCCGTTGAGTGCTCGATCTCCTCCCTTTTAGTCGATCCTCGACCAGTTCTACTATTCTGCTCGATCTCCTCCCTTTTGGTCGATCCTCGACCAGTTCTGCTATTCTGCTCGATCTCCTTCCTTTTGGTCGATCATCCTTCTACCGATCCGGTTTTCTCCACTTCGAGGTTGCTCGACCGATGATGCAAACCGGTCTATTCCTCAGCTATATAATATCCCATATCAATTATTTATTGATATTATTATTATTATTATGATTATTTATTTAAGGCCAAATTATCATTAAATGTTTAAATGTGTATTATTATTAAATAATCAATGTGCATTATGTATATAATAATATATATCCGGTTTAATTTAATTATCGCGCGATCAACCGAGTTTAATATTGTCGCGCCCTTTTCGATTTATAGAATTTCTCGAGATATTCTATTTATCGAATGTTATTTATAAGGTTATATTTAATTTATTCGTCGCGACGTCGACTTAAATAAAAGACTGGAGTACTCGATCGTTTTATCGAAAAACGTTCGTCGTTCGGCGATTTTGGTTTAATCGTGTGAACCGAATATAATCCGTTTGAATTAGGGATTTTTATGTGTTATTTATTATATTTACGCAACAGCTGCATTTAATTATCTATGCTCGGCAGTTCTTCAGACTAATTGGACGTTAGTGTCTATTTAATCCGTTAAGTAATTAATTTATTTAGACAATTTAGTCTATTTAAATTATTCGAATATCGATTATTCGTTAGCTATTCGATGTTGCCTGAGTTATTTATTTAATAGTCGTCGTGGCCGTTATTAGCCAGTTTCAGATTAATTAGACGATCACGTCTATTTAATCATTTGAGGAAATTGATTTATTTAGACAATGAAGTCTAGTTAAATTATTCAAACTTTAGAATAGTCGTTGGCTATTCAAAATTTGCTGGTTTGTTTTTTTTTTTNAATCGTCACTAGTCGTTTTCGTATCCAATTCTCTAGCCGTTTAAGTTATTTCTTTAGGCCCAAAATTGTACTATTCTCGGTCCATCAACTAGCATTAGATTCGGCCCAAATTGTAAGTAGGGTAAGTAGGGATCTCAGCCCACATTAAACCTATTTCACGCCTGTGTATATCGAGCAGAACCCTTTCTCCCTCGATCAGAATCTCACCCAAACTCGCCGCAAATCGATCTCAGCAGATTACACCTTTTGTTCCACCGATCAAATTTTCGCTCAAATCGCTCAAATAATCCCAACCCTTCAATCGTCTTCTCCACCATCGTCGTCCGGTCACGGAGAGAGAGAGAGAAGCTGCGAGCAGCGACTTGTTCGAGTGGCGACGAGGAAGATTGGACGTTCTTCGAGCAGACCCAATCCCTCCCTATCGCAGCCTTAAATCGATCGTCGTCACACCAGCGGCCCTTCGCCGGTGTGTTTCTCCCTTCTGCCCTTGTTCGGTCGGCGCCACAGAGAAATGAGCAGCACTTCACGGCCTCAATCCACGAAGGTTCCTGCCCGTCCATAGCAGCAGCGAATTAGCCGGGGTGGCCATGTCGGCGAGTAGTGTCTCGTCGTGTCGAGTCTCTTTCATCGTCAAAGCTTCAGCCGGCGACTTCGTCCAGTGAGCAACGGGGACCTTTCCGATGAGTTCATCGTCAAGCAGCCGGAGTCCTTCACCCAAAAGCTCAAGGTCGGGCCCGTTCACGTCGGCAGCCCGTACCTCCGCTAAAGAGGAGAAGTAGCAGTAGAAACACGTTGGCCTTTTTCACCTCGCCGGAGGTCTCGTCAGCCTCCGTCGGCCTTCGTTTAGCGGCCCGAATAGCCGACGACTCACAAGCAGCAACAAGTAGTCGTGGTTGGGATGCCCGTGAACCCCGCAGCGACCGTACATGAGAATTGATAGCCGAGTGCGAGCCGGGAGGTAGCCAGCGCGTAGTCGAGTCGTTTCTCCGATCTCCTTCATCGTTTCTCGTTAATCCTCGAGTTAGGTATATGGATTAACCCTCTTTTAAATATTTAGAGAATATTTTGAAGGATTTAATAGGGCTTAAGGTTCGTTGAGTTGAGAATTGTTGAATTTGATGAGTTCAATAAGAAAAGCCATGATATTTGAGTATTTGTAGATGATGTTGGATTCTCGATTTAGACGTGTATTAGCCTCTAAACAACAGGAATGGTGTGGTTATTACCTTGTGTGTTGTTATGCCTCTGTGTACATTTTGCTGTGATATGCTATGATAATTTCTGAGTTTTGTGATGTTTTAGATGCTTAAATGGTGCCTAATTCCATAGTTATGTGTTGCATGATGCATAGCCTTCAAAGTTGGGGGCGGCCTTATTAAATAAAAATTTTGGCTTATGTTTAAGATTCAGTTAAAAGATATCTAAGGCAAATCTAGTTTTTTTTTTTTAAATCCCAAGTTCTTCTTATTGCTGCATGACATATGTCTTCATGATGATTTATATATATATATATATCCTGTGTTTGTTTGTTTGGAATGACTTGGATACAAAATTTCTCAAAAAAATCCAAACATTTTTAACTCAACTACTTTTTTCAACTCAACTTTAATTCCACCCCACTATCATTAATATTATCAATATAATTAAATAATATCAATCAATCATTCTTACACACCACCTTACCTTAATTCACTATTCATCCACTCACATAATTTTAACTAACCATCACTTCAAATCTTCTCTCTCTTACTTTATATCAAATCAACTTTAATCATTTTATTTTAAATATTATTCTAATATACCCACTAACAACTAACCATACCAACTTTTTCAAAATTAACCAAACCAAACAAAAAAATCCAAACAAAATTAAAATTTTTTATATCTAATCATTCTCTAGTTCAAGTCAAATTTTGGAATATTAACTGGTTATGCCTTTATAGATGACGCATTATTTTTCTTTTAGTGCTAATTCATTATTTTCTGGTTTGTGTCCTGGTTAGTGTAAATAACCAAATGTCCTTTTAATTATTTTAAACATTCACAGTCGAGATCTTTAAACTTTTCCTTCACTTCGCTTCGGGCTTTCTTCTAATCTCACTACTCTATGAAAGGGTCAAAATAGCACCAGTCTTCATACTTTTGGGCTAAGGAAATACAGGAATATACTGGCTGAGATGACTAGGCTGGACGCCGAACGTTCTGATTCGATGGGGTGTCACCAGTCGCCAGTTAAATAACCACGGGTGAACGATTGAGGTTCTGCCCAACAGGAGGAGAGGTTTGATGTGGTGGAGTTTGTGTGCATATAGACGTATATATATGCTGCATATGCAAGTGTTCTTTTTTTTTTTGTTTATTTGCTGCATGTATCCTTTAGTTGGTAAGTACTAAAATACTTTCTGTACTTATTAATTAAATTGTTAAAGAACCTTGTGTAATTGCTAAATCACTTTATATGTATGTTGTGTTGATGTGTCATATTCATACATTCAAGTTGCTGTTTTATATGCTTAAACTGTTATGTTAGTGTGTAAGTTCAATTCTTATGTTTAAGTTTATAAGAACAGAGAAGGAAAAGGAAAAGGAAAAGGTTTTGGTTGCAGGTTACGTTAAGCATGCTTTATTTAGTTGGAATAGAATATTTGAGTTATATGTAGTTAATTGTTTATCAATCATGATAAGATACTGTAAGCTTGCATTTCGAGCCCGAGTGGAGCTAAAGCACCTTCAATTGTATCTCTTTTGATTTATGAGTTTAACTACAAGCTGTTAGCAGATTTATGTGATATTTTTCTCTCTTTAAATTTTGGCTGACTTATATGCTTTTATTTGATGTACCTGCGTGATTAAATTTGGGACTTTTGAGAGTATTTCCGAGATCTTTTATTTTATAAGTCAGAGTTCCAACATCTAAGAAATAAAAGCAAAATTTTATAAGTCATGAACCTTAAGTTAGGAAATCCTTCAAATTGTTAAATTAGTTTACCGAGTTTAGAATTAGTTATTTATCCGAGTATCGCTTATTTTTATGTAGATTTTAAGGAGTCGAGCCCTCGAATTTCTACATAAGCGACGACTCTCAATTTCAGAATATCCAGGTGGGTTAGTTATTCTAAAAATTTCTGTGCAATGTGTGTTTAAATATGTTTATGGTTTGTGCGTGATCTATGTACGGACATGAATATGTAGCCTATTGATGTGAGCTATTATGATGGCCATCGGTACGGTTGTCCCCGTCGATGTAATACGGTTGCCCTTGCGAGGCAAGTCTCCTTAAGACCTATTATGAAAGGCCGTGTCCTTGCGTGGCACGTACTCTCGCTGTTAGGGTAATGAATCCCCTTTCCGCGACTATTATGAAAGATGTGTACACAGGAGTATTTATTTTTATGTTATGATAGAGATGAGACATATGTGATATTGTTTATGTCCATGCTGCGACCATGCCTATTTAACATATTACAAAATGTGCATTGCATAGTGTCAGTACGATATTTAACTGTACTCACTCCCACCTGCTCGTAACTGATGCAGGTTAAGCAGTGGCGCGTGACGAGACAAGGCGAGTGGTGGTCATACCTATTTATTATGTTTATTTAATTGCTTCCGCTTTCTTCATGAACTTATGTTGGTATTGAACTTATGTTGGATTGGATTTGGAACCTGATTATTTTGAAAACATTCGAATTTGGTTTATGTTGAAAAACCTTTCATGATATATGATTGAGAATATGATGATGTTTATGTTTATGTTATGTGGTTAATGAAAACCGTTGGAAAAATCGGGTAATGAATCCCCGTAGTTCAGATATGACTTGAACTGTATTTTTGAAAAGAATGAGTAACGCTAAAGTTTATGATTCGAAAAATAAGTTTCGAAAATTTTTACCTTGATTTTTGGAAAAGCCATGGATGTTTCTTAAAAATCGATTGGGGCGTTACAAATATGGTTATGTCGAGCCCGAGGAAAACCGAGAACCCGCACGCCTAGCCGCATCGAGCCTTATTATTATTTTTTTTTCAGTCCAAAAGAGCTAAATATTCGGGCCCTATTTGTTCAAGAATTATCGGCCCGTAAAAGCCCTTATATTCTCGGCCCATTAAGCCGGACCGACCCAAATCTCTTTGGTGTGTCTTAAGGAGCAAAAATGAAACCTAGTCTATTAATTTGTACCCTAATCTCTCTCTCTCTCTCTCTCAATCAAACACGCCGCTGCCTTCTCAATCTCTCTCTCCCTCTCGCTCTTTTTGTTCTTGGCAGACAGAAGGAAAAACTCGGCGCCGCCATCTTCCTCATCTCTCCCGCCATACCCGGCCGCGCCACCCTCAAGCTCTGCAACTCCGACCGCCGTGTCCGCCATCATCCTATGGGAACTTTAGCCGCAGCAACCCGTCACCTCCCCTGCTTGTTTTTCCGGCAATCCACAGCCCTAACGCCGCCACCCACGAGCAGACCAGGCCTTCGTTCGCGACGGGCAACGACAGGACTTTTCCAACGAGTTCCGTCGGAGAAGAGGACCTCCACGCCATCCGTTCACGGCGCAACACCTGGGTGAGGATCTTCCAAGCGACCAACAGAATACCCTCAGTACCTTTTCAGTCGGAAGGCGGCAGCGGCTCCATGTTTCGGCATCAGCTTTCATCGGCACCAATGAGAGATTTCGAGCAGGCAGCTTTTCAGCCATGGAGGTTGGGCCGCTCAAGGCAACATCAGTCATCTCAACCGGCATCTTTTCGGCAGCCAATGGCCGGCTATTTTCTTTCAACGGGCAGTGGCCGTTCGACGGAGTCCAATACGCGAGCCGCGAGTACCGCCGCGTGTTGCCGTCATTCCCGTCGGCCCTCTTTCGCCCCGTTTTCGAATGTTTTCCCGAGAACGGTACATAGCCTGGAACCCCGTTTCGTTTAATCACGTATTACGTGTTAATGTGTTAGTTATATGTTATAAAGTCCCATGATTGATATAGATGTGAATATGATGGTTTATTTTAGATTATTGTATATGTATTGATCTCGTCGATTTTGAGAAATCGAACGAGATTACGATATAACGTGTTAAGTTGCTGTGGAAATTGGAACATAACGAGTCCTTGGTCTTACGGTGAAGGCCCCGGACGATTTCGTTATAAATCGAGTCGTATATGAATTTATGAACTCGTATGGTTGCTGATTTGGTATTAAATTCGTGATAAATTGTATACTGCTCTGATGAATATGAAATTTTTTGTGTCGAGTCCTCTGTTGGTCATGTATGCCGTGTAAAAAATTCAGATTAAATTACCAATTGTAGCTATTTTAATTAATTGTTTTGATTTCTGGGCAGAATATTGTAAATTGCATATTAAATTGATTTGTAGTCCAAATTGGCTGAAATTGGAGTTTGTCGTCTCTCTGGCATATTTACATGTTGTGTAAAATTTTCAGAACTTTTGGACTTAGTTTGCTAGGGTAAATAATTTATTGTAGTATTCTGCAGAAACTTGTTTTCATTATGATAATTTGATCTGTTATTGTAAATTGCTGATTCTTGGCGAAGTGCTTATTTAATGATGTTATGTGTGTGGAAAAATTCCCAGGATTTTCGGAGTTCATATTGGCTCAGATTTGTTGAAATTTCGAAATCTGCAGAATCTTGTTTTAATTTTCATAAATCGCATGTTTAATGTTTAAATCTGAAAATTTTACATGTTATTATTCACATGCTGGGGGTTCTTGTGTAAAAAATTTCAAAGGATAAATCGTTCGTTATGTCTGTCTTCGAATTTGTGCTCGTTTTTGCTGAAAACTTGTTCGAATTTTATAAAATCATGTGTTTTGAGTTAGGGGCTGAAATTTGGTGGATTTACTGAGTCCAGTTTAATGGATTTTATGTTAAAATTTCAAAGCCTAATTCATTCGGCAACTTGACCAACTTGATTATGTGATTTATCGACTAGTATTTTAAAAATATAGTTTTTGTGTTAAAGGTTGTAAACCGACTCGCATGTTGTTCCTTGTTTGTTTGACTTGGTCAACCCTTAGTTGGATTTATGTGAGCTCCCTTATGTGTTTGGTTGAGTATAAGTGCCGAGTCTAAGTGTTCCAATGTCCACAGGACTTCACGAACAACTTAGTCGAATCAAGTTTGACTAAGTCTGATTTGTGTTTTTCGTTTAAGTCAATGTAGATGTTGATTATAGAATCTTGACTTAATGTAGGTGTGTGAGGAGTCAAGCCTCGACCTACGTACCTTCTATTTTTCCTCTTATCAATCTGAAAATCCAAGTGGGTTAGTTATTCTAAAATATCTATGCATATGTATTTTATATGTGTTAAACCGGTATGACCTATGTATGCATGTGAGCATGTAGCCTATCGATGTGAGCTTGATGGCCATCGGTTCGGTTGTCCCCGTCGATGTAATACGGTTACCCTTACGAGGTAAATCTCCTTAAATCCTATGAGAATGCCATGTCCTTACGTGGCACGCACTCCCGTGTCCTTACGTGGCACGGCTAAGCTTAGATGTGCACATGAGTGGGTCATTGATGTGACCAGTCATTCATGTGACTAGAGATGAGGTATGATGTTATTATTGTTTATGTTTATGCTGCGACCATACCCTCCTAACATATTTTATATTGTTCATATGCATTGTGGTGAGTACTATATTTCCCAACTGTACTCACTCTCACCTGCTCTTCACGGATGCAGGTTAAGCAGTTGGCGGGTGACGAGACAAGACGAGTGGGTGGTCTTGCTTATTTATTTATGATTATTAATTTGCTTCCGCATTTATGAACTTAAGTTGGATTATTGGAACATGTTGAATTGGTTTGACTTTGAAAACATGTTGGTTGGGTTTATGTTGAAAAACCTTTCAATTTGATATTCATGAGTCTGTGATTAGGAATATCATGATGTTTATTATGTTGATGAGACTGTGGTTAATGAAGACCTTTGAAAAATCGGGTAATGAATCCCAGTAGTCCAGACAGGACTTGAACTAAGTTTTGAAATGATTGAGTAACACCAAAAATATTTTTTATTCGAAAAATGAATTTCAAAAATTTTACTGTGATTTTTGGATAAGCCATGAATTTTCTTCAAATCAAAGTGGGGCATTACAGGGCATCTCCCCAACAATGTTTTAAATCGTCATAAAATCCCATATCCATAATATCCCAAGTTCATAAAATCATAAATAAATTCAAGTAGCGGAAGTAATACAATCAATGGTCTAGCGGAAGTAATACAATCAATGGTCTAGTCATCAAAGATAGGGAATTTAATAACACCCAAACCTTTTTAAAATCGACTAGACCGAATTCAACGAAACTTTACCACATTAATAAAGACCAAAATACACACAATTACACCAGAGGTCATCCTCTAAAAATCATATTAACTCAGATCACCAATTTTTGCAAAATAAGACCATAAACTAGGGTTCTCAAGATCTTCAGGAAAACGATCGAATTTTCACTTGAAATTTGAACACAACAGCAATTAAAGCAAAACATTACAAATCCCATAAATTCAAATCAAAACGACCAAAACTAGATTTTATAAGGATTTTACAAGAGTCTGACCAGAACTTGAAATCCCCAGTTCATCCGGTTAAACTTCGAGTTTTATATTGAACATTTTAGACAAGTAATAACATAGACAGAGGTTTCATCCCTCAAAATTTCAGATCAAAATCCCGAGTAATTTATTAGATTTCGATTTTACAAAATTCAAAGACTAAATTGGATTCAAAAATCCAAAACTCCAAATATACTCGACCAAATCGTCCAAAACCTTTTTCAAAAGGTTAAGGACATCCCTAGGTTCCATTATCCATAGGCTTTCACGTTTTTAACGTGGATTCATCAAGATCACATCATAATCATATTGTTACCAAACATGCATTTAATCATTACATATTCACATAAAATCATCAATCTCATAAATAACCAATGGGACCAGCATCATATTATCAAAAAACTCAAAAAATATGAGAGGGTACAGCCATCAAGTACCATTCTCAGGGTCCTTGCACTAAAAATCACAAGGAAAGGAGGTCGGGGCTCGGTTGGGCACGCGGGGATGGCTCGGCGACGGGGTTCGGCTCGCCGGAGGTCGGGATCGCCTTGGACAACAGCGGTTGGCTTCTTGCTGGTCGGGAAGCTTTCGAACAGGGGCTGAAGGTCCGAGAGTTGGCCGTGGTTTGCGTCAGGATGCTGAGGGGCACTTCGCGGGGTTGCCGGCAGACGCGGGTGGTGCGTGGATGCCGTGTGGTGGCCGTGAAGGGGGGCGCTCGGGCGTTTGGGAGGAGGAGGGTGGCGGTTGGTGTTTGGAAGAGAGGGAAAGGTTTTGTGTCTTGGGGAGGGGGTTAAAGGGTTTAAATAGGGCATGAGATGCCCTAACTTACCAAAACGGGAGCTAGTGACGCGCTGGGCCGCGCACGGGCCTGGGCGTGGGCGCGCGGGCTGTGCGCAGGTTCGTGGGCCTGGCGTGTTTCCTAGGGCCAAATGACTTAGAAAATATTTTTAAGTGTTCGGTTTGACCCTGGTTTGACTTTGGCTCGGTTCCGTCAATACTTGAAAATAAAAATCGATCCTTGGTCCGGTTAAACCGAAATTTCGAGTGACTTAATTTAATTAAATCAAACAAAGCATTATATCATCTTTAAGACAATATAATATGATGGTTTTAATCGAGAAATCGAGAAATAATAATAAATAGCCAAAATAAAATAATACCATATAATCACATAAATTCCAAATAATCATATAAATTCCAATAATCGAATGAGGGGCTACAGTTTACCCACCTTAAAAGGAGTTTCGTCCTCGGAATTTGAAAAAACAAAACGACTAAAAGCAAAAGAATACAAAGGGGAACTCAAAACATGAAGTTCGGATATCTCCTCCTAAGATCGGCCTCCGTCTCCCAAGTCGCCTCAGACTCGTGATGTCGGATCCACTCCACCTTCACGAGATTCACTGCCCGGTTCCTCAGCTGGTGGACCTTCCGGTTCAGTACGGCCACCGGTACCTCCTCATAGGTAAGGTCTCGCTCGACCTGTAACTCGCCGAAGTCCATCGCGTGGTCGGGGTCATGCACGTATCTACGTAGCATCGAGACATGAAACACATCATGCACCCCCGACAAGTCTGGCGGTAAAGCTAGCCGATAAGCCAAGTCTCCGACTCTAGCAAGGATCTCAAAGGGCCCGATATAGCGAGGCCCAAGTTTCCCCTTCTTTCCGAAGTGAACCACACCCTTCATGGGTACGACCTTCATAAAGACATGATCGCCAACCGCATACTCATGCTCCTGCCTCTTTCGGCGGCGTAGACTTTCTGCCTCTCTTGGGCATATCTGATCCTCCTCC